AGTCTAGGTACTACATTATGTGAAATGCAAATTTTAAATAAGATAATTGTATCGACTTGTCTGAATATAGATTTCTTGGTTTTCATGTGGCTGGAAGAACGTGGATAAAAATTTGTACCATACTACCACTACCCTATATACTACCTGCACAACTTCATCTTTCTTTGAATAAATCAATTACTTTTGTACCCATTATTTGATGCATATAAAGGGATTCATAAAGGCAAGATAGTGAAGTTGTCAAGTAATTGAAGATGGGCGACAATTGTGTCTTATTGTGCCATATTAACAAGTTATAAAAAAGCTTCATGATATTTTCAGGTAAGTTGCATCGCGTAACTAGCCCGTACATTGCAGTATGCATAATACCTTATTTTTATTGTGAACCCGGGCCTGCTCAGTGCATTATTTTTTTGTAATCGAAGAAAGGTTTCAGATAATATTTTTAAGAAAACTTAAAGGTATAACTCGAGTTCCCGTTATAATTAAGTATTCTTTATTGTTTAATTTTATTATTTTCTATACCTTAAAGCAAGATTTATGAATTAATATTTCAATTGTTATTTTATTTTATACCAAAATAGGGTTTAATCCTTGCTCAGCCAGAAATATGCACTTCAATTACCTCTTTACTTCGAATGTACCGTCATGAAGCCATGCGGGTATACACAGACAAATTAGTGGATGTCGCGGATATTACGCAAGCGAGTAAAATTATTGATACAGGCCTTCATACGGTGTTTGCTGAAGTCCCAGAGAGTCAACTAACAGCTGAGCCATTATTGTTATGCAATTTCACCAATGGTTTAGATTCGGACAAAATTTACGCAGAGGTCAAGAGTATAGAGAGTATTAGTGAAATTCTAAATGAAGCCTTGGCAAATTATAATGAGCAGTACGCAGTAATGAAATTGGTGCTCTTCAATGACGCTATTTGTCATGTGTTGCGCATATGCCGAATTCTCGATATTCCAAGGGGTAATGGGCTACTAATTGGTACAGGAGGTTCGGGTAAGCAGAGTTTATCTCGCCTTGCCGCTTTTCTCTGCAAATATGACGTCTCACAAATCATCTTACGTAAGGGATATGGCATAGTAGACCTGAAAGCACATTTCAATATGCTGTTCACTCGAGCCGCCCTTAAGAATATGCCCTATGTGTTCTTAATGACTGATGCTCAGGTGAGATATGAACGACTTTAATTGTCATCTTTAACTCGATTTTTATTTGCTTCCTATTGCAAAAGCACCATAATAGTCAGCTGCTTCAAATCCTATTCACATCAACATATCTATTAAATATGCCTTGATTACTACACTAAGGATCTTCTTAATTTAACATTCTGAATTTCAGGTTGCCGATGAAGCCTTTCTTGTCTGTATTAACGACTTTTTAGCGTCGGGTTCCATCCCTGGATTATTTACTGAAGAAGAAACGGAAACTATTATTAATGGGTTACGAGGAGAAGTTAAGTCTATGGGATTTATAGATAACAATGAGAATTGTTGGAACTATTTTATTGATAAAGTTCGAAAACAGCTGCGAGTAAGTGCAATGGCTTGGCACGATTAAATGACTTAACCCTTTTAAATATATTTTTTTATTCTTGCTCATTAAAGATTCTGCTGTGCTTCTCACCTGTTGGTAATGCATTGCGTGTCAGGGCTAGACGCTTCCCTGCATTGGTCAACTGCA